AGCTTCTTGGCGCGGGCGGAGGGCGCGGTGAGGCACCAGGGCACGCAGACCGGCGAGAAGCCGTATGCCTGCCCCGAGTGCGGGAAGAGCTTCGGGCAGAACTCGGCGCTGGTGAAGCACCGGCGGATGCACACGGGGGAGAAGCCCTACGAGTGCGGGGACTGCGGGAAGAGCTTCGGCGTCCGCTCCAACCTCATCAAGCACCAACGGACGCACCTCGGCGAGAAGCCCTACAAGTGCCCCGAGTGTGGCAAGGGCTTCATCCAGAAGTCCGACCTCACCAAGCACCGGCGGATGCACACCGGGGAGAAGCCCTACGAGTGCAACGTGTGCGGGAAGTGCTTCAGCGTCTCCTCCAACCTCATCAAGCACCAGCGCATCCACCTGGGCGAGAAGCCCTACCAGTGCTCCGAGTGCGGCAAGAGCTTCATCCAGCGCTCCGAGCTCACCATCCACCAGCGCGTGCACACCGGCGAGAAGCCCTACAAGTGCTCGGAGTGCGGGAAGTGCTTCAGCCGCAGCTCCCACCTCAACCGGCACCAGCGAACCCACGGCGGGGACAAGCCCAAGGCGGTGGCAGCCACCGGTGGCACCGCCGTGGCCTCCGAGATGCCGCCGCCGCCGCCGGGCTCCGGGGCCTTCCCCGGTGCCGCCTTCCCGGCCCCGGTGGCCTCGCTGGGGTCGTTCCCGGCGTCGCCCTCGGCGCTCCCTGTGCCGGCGCTCTCCGGCCCGGCCCTGGAGCTGCCCTGGGCGCTCTCGTTCCCCGGCCGCGCCTTCGCCCACCCGTCGTTCGCCCCGGCCCCGCCCGCGGGCGCCCAGACCCCCTCACTCATCAACTGAGGCTCCGCCCACCCACCCAGTGCTCCCAGTGCTCCCAGTTACCTCCCGGTGCTCCCAGTGCCCAACTGGGATGGGTTGGATGCAGAGACCCAGCATTGAGTCTCGTTGACTCATGGTTGGGTCTCGTTGACCCATCGTTGGAGCTTCTTCCAACCTGGAGCCCTTCGACCTTCCGGGCTAATTAATGACATCATTAATTAGGGGATGGGGAACTCCCCCTCATTCCATGGCTCCACCCACCTCCCCAGTGCTCCCAGTGCCCAACTGGGGCCGGTTGATCCCCCCCATTCCCACCCCAGCCCCCCCACCCTGGATTCCCCTCCGACGTTTCCCCTGGGATGAGGATCTGGCCCCATCCCGGTTTCTCCCTCTGATCCCACCTCGCAGGATTTTTTCCCACATTTTTGCATCATGTTGTGCCCACCCGGGAGCTTCCCTGAGGAATTCTGGGATATTCCGCATTTCCCATCTCTCCCTCTGATCCCACATTATCCCAAATGGAGCCGGTTGGGCTTTTCCTCTTTTAATTTTAACCATTTTTTGTCCTTTTTGGACAAAAACCCCTAACTTTTGGGGCAAAATCAGTGATTTGGTGACGTTGTTTTCCAAGCACTTCAGGGAATATTTTGGGAATTTTGGGTGGGTTGTTTTTTTTTCCTTTTCCATGTGGAATTTGGGACAACTTCGGTGTGTTTGTGGTGAGTTTTTTTATGGCTTTTCCTTAATTTTTTGGGGTTGTTTTTCGGGATTTAACGTCTTTCGGTACAAGCAGGAAAAAGTGGGAAAAGTGGTACTTTTTTGCTGCCTAAAATTCTGATTTTTCCCAGTTTCCCGAGGAAAAAATGGGAAATGGAAGAAAACAAATGAGGAAAAAATCAAAAAGCTTCAAAAAACACTAAAAAAAGTGAAAAAATTAATGAAAAATGAAGAAAAACATCAAGAAATAGAGGAAAAAATAAAGAATTGAGGCTCAAAATGACTCTTAGTTTGTCCCAAAAGGGGATTAAAAGCTGGAAAAAGACTTTTGAAAAAGTCGGGAATTGCCAAAAACTTTGGAGTTGGGAAAATTCAAAGTGGAAATGAAATAATGGAGGAGATGCCACGGGAAGGACTCCTCATGTTTGTGGAAAAATGAGGAAAATATCAAAATACAGGAAAAAAATGTGCTAATGAGGCATCTCGGGGCTCAGTGGCCCCGATCTGGGCCAAATTATCCCCAAAATTCAGGGCAATTACCCCAAAATTCCAGGGTTTGGTGGTTTGGGAACCTCCGGAACCACCAGGGGTGGGGTGGGACCATCCCAAAATTCTGGAGGAAGAGGAAGGAACGGGATGAAACCAAGAACTTCCCTGGGAGCTCCAACAGGATGGAATTTTCGGAGGACACTTGACCCCAAAAAGGTCAAAAATGAGCCCCAAAAGCTCCGAACCCGAGGATATTTGGGGGGGGAGCACCCCCAAACTGTGATTTCCGTGGAATTTCGCCCCTTCCTGGTGTTTCCGGTGTCGTTGCGTCGCGGATTCCGGTCGGTGTCATTCCCGGTGTTGGGAATTGCTTCCTTTCCATGAGTAGTAATAAATTAGAGTTAGCAATTCCCAGTTATTCCCAGTTTTTCCTCGGAATGGTTTCAAAGCACCTCGAAATCCCGTTTTTCATGGTTTTCCCAACCCCCTCCCTTGTGGAAGGGCTTCCAGATCCACATCCTGGAGCATCTCCAGGGATGGAGCAGCTCCAGGAAGCCCCTTCCCAACCTTTTCCCATCCTGGAATAGTTCCAGTTGGATGGAATCCATAGGGATCATTCCTCATGGGAAGGATCCCCAAAAAAACCCAAGGGATTTTTAAGGATTTTCCAGTTTTTCCACCGCCGGGATCTGGTGGCGCTCAAGGGTCTTTTTTCCAGGACACCCCCCCCACGAGTTTCGGGATCAAAGTTTGATCCCAAAATTTTGATCCCAAACCTCGATCCCAAAATTTCACACCCCCTTCCCGTTTCCCTCCTTGTTTGTTTTTTTTTTCGGGACGATCCCACAAAAGAATCCACGGATTCCCTTTCGGGAAATTTGGGATTTCCAGGGAAAAACCGGGATACTCTGTGTCCTCCCCCCCCGCCCCGCCCCGATCCAGCATCCCTGGGAATTCCAGGAGTCCTTTTCCCGGTTCCCGGCGCCGTTTCCCGCCCGGATCCTTCCGGGAGGACACAGGAAAGGGCCGATCCAGGCGGGAGGAAGAGGAGGGGGAAAAGGGGGGGGGGGGGGCGAAAGGAGAGGCCGGGAATGGTTTTCCCGAAGCCGGGAATGTGTTTCCCGGTCCCGGGACTGATTTTTCCCTGTCCCAGGAATGTTTTTCCCGGTCCTAGGGATGTTTATCCTGGTCCCGGGAGTGGTTTTCCCGGTCGTGGGAATGTTTTCCCGGTCCCGGCGATGCTCCGCTCGATCCCGGGAATGTTGTTCAGGTCCCGGGAGTGGTTTTCCCGGTCCTGGGAATCTTTTATCCCGGTCCGGGAGATGCTCTAATCGGTTCCGGGAGCGACTTTCCGGGCGCTGGGAATGTTGTCCTGGTCCCGGGAATGTTCATCCCGGTCCCGGGGAGGCTCTGCCCGGTCTGGGAATGCTTTTTCTCATCCCGGGAATGTTTATCCCCGTCCCAGGGGTGATTTTTTTCTCCGTCTCAGGAATGTTCATTCTGGTCCCGGGGATGATTTACCCTGTCCCGGGAATGTTTATCCCGGTCTGGGAATGCTTTTCCCGGTCCTAGGCGTGATTTTCCCAATCCCTGAAAAAAAAAGAGGGAGAAAAGAAAAAAAAAGGGGGGGAGAGAAAAGACCAAAAAAGGGGCGGAAAAAAAACCACAAAAAAAAAAAAAAAAAAA